TTGAAAACTGTAGTATGACGTATACAAGTGGTTTTATGGAGGGAAAAAGACAATATATTTAATATTAAAGTTTTCCTAGAAAACCCAGGATATGTGATCCTCATAAATATAGGGGGCCCCAGGTGACCATTTGGGCTGATGGTCATGCCATTGGAAATACACGTTAAATGACCCCCAAACAGAGGGTTCTCCCTGCATCATACATAGACAGTTTTCCTACAGAAGAAGATCCATGTCTTTTATCTACTTCCCTTGATCCCATAAGCCCTAAATGTCTTGCACACAAAAGGTGTTAAATATTTGGAGACATTTGTCTTACCCTATCACAATACTTATATTCATTCTTCATTAAATACAATACAGAGCCCATATTTTGAATGGAAACAAGATCTTTTGAACCTAGTTTTGTTACTTTATCTTCCCAGACTTACTTGTAAGTCAGTAAGAAAGTTGGACTTGTCAGTCATTAAAAAAAAAAAATCATTCAACAAACATTCATTGAGAAATGAATGAATACCAAGCACTGGAGAAATCTGGAAATTCCAAGCATGTTCATGGTGTTCACATAGAGCCTCTGGGCCAAGAATGTCATGCAGGTTGTCATGCCACCATGATTTGGTAACGTTTTTACTTTAAAGGAATATAGACTCACTTATGTAACCTCAAGAAATACAGGGGGTTACTATAAGGACCCCTGGAACTGAAATTTTGTCATATTCTCCCAGCCTCTTTCTCTAAATAGTACTTCTGTTTATCTTGATATGCCTGCTTCATTCTTTCTCTATAATCACTTCTCTGCTTCTTCATAACTTAAATGATGCATACCTTTTATACTGTATCAGTCAGATGAAGCTAGTTATGCTTCTGTAAAAACCACCCCCAATCTCAGGGGCCTAAAATAACAAACATTTACATCTTGTTCTCACTACATGTCCACCAAGGGTTAGTTGGGGAAAGAAGGAGACACTTGAAAACCCACAATGACAAAGCAGCCACAATCTTGAAAAATGAACATGGTTAGACATGGGCTAACTCTTCAAGTATCCACCATATTTCTGCTCATATTTCCTTGGCCCAAGCAAGTCAAATGGCCACAGCCAACTTAATTGGGATGTGCAATGTTACCAAGACTTTGACTGGGGAGAAAGACTAAAAATTATCACCTTTACACATGGCATTTCCAGCCCAACACTGCAATCCCTTTTTGTTTCAGCAGCCACAGCTAATGATTCCTATTTTTTATGTTCCTTAGTTCAAACTGCAATGAAAGAAGCTGAGTGGCCCAGTCCATCATTGCCTGACAGGCCACAACACCAGGTCCCTAGTTAGTCTTTAGATCGTCCTTGAGTCATGGCCAGTCTGCTGGAGAACAGGAATACACGCTACATACAGCTCGTGACTGTCAAGCCTACCCCTGGAGAGGATCAGAGGACCTGTTCAGTACAGAAGAATGTGTTGTTTAAGTCATGACATTTTGGTTGTCCTAGCCTTGTCCTAGCCCTTGATGACAAAAAGGTCACAGGCAGTGCAGTCCATAAAGCTGCCTTGGGCCTGACATGTGGCAGAATCTCAACAGGGGTGAAAAGAAATGATTGAATTCAGGAACTGCTTTGTTAACCCAGCAGTCTAGGGATCAGTGACGTACTACCACAGGATTTTAAAAGTTAGTGTTGTATAGCTCCATTTCCACACTTGGACACCACAGGCTTCGACTTCTGAATATAGCCCTAGGTGAGGGGGTCCGGGAGAAGATGTGAAAAGAAGAGACATCGATGGCTTTAAACTACACAGTAAGGTCTGAATGTCTGAATCTGGAATTCAAGGCCCTTTATTGTATGGCCCCAACCTTCCTTTCCAGTATCATGTTCCCACTCACCCCCAAATCCTACTGTCCAACCACCTCCAAACATTCCTTTTTCTTTCCCTGGCTCATACAATGGCCCTCCTCTCTAGCTAACCGCTACCCTTCCTTTAAAATCAGTTTAAGAGGCCGGGCGCGGTGGCTCAAGCCTGTAATCCCAGCACTGTGGGAGGCCGAGGCGGGTGGATCACGAGGTCAAGAGATCGAGACCATCCTGGTCAACATGGTGAAACCCCGTCTCTACTAAAAATACAAAAAATTAGCTGGGCATGGTGGTGCATGCCTGTAATCCCAGCTACTCAGGAGGCTGAGGCAGGAGAATTGCCTGAACCCAGGAGGCGAGGTTGCGGTGAGCCGAGATCGTGCCATTGCACTCCAGCCTGGGTAACAAGAGCGAAACTCCGTCTCAAAAAAAAAATAAATAAATAAAATAAAATAAAATCAGTTTAAGGCCGGGTGCGGTGGCTCACGCCTGTAATCCCAGCACTTTGGGAGGCCAAGGTGGGTGGATCATAAGGTCAGGAGATTGAGACCATCCTGGCCAACATGACAAAACCCCATCTCAACTAAAATACAAAAAATTAGCTGAGTATGGTGGTGCACCTGTAGTCCCAGCTACTCAGGAGGCTGAGGCAGGGGAATCACTTGAACCTGGGAGGCAGAGATTGCAGTAAGCAGACATTATACCACTGCACTCCAGCCTGGTGACAGAGTGAGACTCTGTCTCAAGAAAAAAATTAAATAAAAAATAAAATCAGTTTAAAAGTCACCAGCTTTTCAGAGAAGCTTTTCCCACCTGCTCTGACCCGGTCATTTCTGTTTCTTCCTCCTATGAATTCTTATTCCCTGCTCATGCAAACACCTGGAGGACAAAGACCTGTGCTACTCACTCTTTGGATTCCAGAGCCCAGTACCTGCCTAGTATACAGCAGGTGCTCAATAACATCATGTTTGATAAATTGCCTGTAGCATGAATTCACTTAAAGAAGATTTAATGAGTTTCTTGGCTACATATGGCACAGTGAGAAAAGAAAAGTCAGTAACATGCGGTCCCTCCAGGAGTTTCTTCAGTTCAGTTGCCTCTTTTTACAAGTGAGAAAACAGGCTTAAAAAGGTTGTAGCATGGCTAAGGTTACACTGCAAGGAAGTGGCCAGGACAGGTTTGGATCCGGGGAACTAACTCCAACCTCCCTATTCTTGACTCCTCTGCTGAGCTCCAACCTGGAGAGTCAGCTCCCTAGAGTCCATGCATCTGGATATCATCCACAGGCCTGGAACTTTGTCACTGTTCCGGTGGCTAAGCTGACCCACCGTGATTAAAGGGCTCTGGTTAATTTCCGTGCCATGCAGCCCCTATGCACACAGATCTAATGTTCTGACCATTAGGTCCGTGTATTTTTTCCCTCCTAGGCAGTTGGGTTAGTGGAAGAAATCTGATAAAATCCTAGAGAGGAACTTGATCATTCTCTGAAGGACTTAACAAGTTGTTTGGCCTGCCTAATCTGCTCAGATACCGCCTGGGGAATATTCGGTATCCATGCAGTACAGACTGTGAATTATTCTGTGGGGACTATTAACAAGACCCTCACAACCACAACCCTGCCTCAGCTGATCTCAGGGGCTGGGAGCAATCCCCTCATCTCCCCTTCAACTGAAGCTCTAAAAAAAAAGTAGCCTTTCCCACTTGGGGGATGGAAGGAATAGAGTTAAAAATCCAGTGTTGGGAGAAAATCCTCCTGCTTCCAAGCACCGCTCAAGGCAGAGCCTGCCAGGCCTACTCCCTCCTCACAGTTGCAGCTGTGGTTGCAATGACTTAGCCAGGATGACACCGACCCCTTGTTTTCTGAAACCTGGCACCTGAGCATCTAACATGGAAAGGCCGACTCCCTAAATGGTGAGTTAAATCTGGAGGGATCTCGGGGATTATCTACCCCTTGGATTTAAAGTTGAGGAAGCCGCGGGCAGCAAACAAGGTCTCATGGTCGCTAGTGGCAGAGTAGAGACCACAGGCCAAGTTGCGTGAGTCTAAACTCAATGTTCTTTCCCCTTTTTTTTGGGGGGGGGGGGGATGGAGTTTCGCTCTTGTTACCCAGGCTGGAGTGCAATGGCACGATCTCGGCTCACCGCAACCTCCGCCTCCTGGGTTCAGGCAATTCTCCTGCCTCAGCCTCCTGAGTAGCTGGGATTACAGGCACGCGCCACCATGCCCAGCTAATTTTTTGTATTTTTAGTAGAGACGGGGTTTCACCATGTTGACCAGGATGGTCTGGATCTCTTGACCTCGTGATCCACCCGCCTCGGCCTCCCAAAGTGCTGGGATTACAGGCTTGAGCCACCGCGCCCGGCTGTTCTTTCCCCTTAAACTGCCACTCGCGCGCGCGCGCGCGCGCGCGCACACCCACACCCACACGCACACGCACGCGTGCGCGTGTGCCTCCTTTTTGGAGGCACCGCACAGCAAGCGCAGAGCTACGCCACTGAGTCCTGTGTCCCTAAAGTATTTCACTGTCCCTCCGCTGGGGGAAAGGGCACACAGAAAACAAGACTCCGTGTACCGTCACTGTGCCGCCCCCTGCCTTTCTGACCCGCTCTCGCAGAGAAAGTCTCAGAAGCTGCCCCAGGCTTTCCCCCCACGTTCTCCCTTTCTCTGCTCCAGTTGAGTTTCCAGAGCCTGAGTGCCCAGGATGACACCTGGCGGGCTGAGAGCTGCCGGGGAGGTGCTGGCGGGTGCCCAGAGCCCAAGGTCCCGGACGCAGGGTGCGGCGGCGGCTGGGAAGCCCCCGGGTCTTCGGCTAAGCAGGGGGGCGACGCGCATCCACCACCTGCCCCGCGCTCCCCCGGACCCCGGTGGCTCAGGGCGGGCTCGGCTGGGGACCCTAATGGCGGGGTGCAGGCCGTGGGAGAAGGGGGCGCGGAGGGCGGAGGGTTGTGCCGACTCGGCCCCGGATCGGCCCCAACGCCCTCTCCCAGGCGCGCAGGTTTAGAAACAGGGCGTCCTCGCCCGGCCACCGCCTCGGCGGCTCGGGTCCCCATATATAGTCATATCCACCGTCAACTGGGAGGCCGGCGGGCGGCAGCGAATGGGCGAGCGGCCCCCGCGGGAGGAGCGGGGAGGGGGCACAGGGCGGAGGGAGGAGAGGAGGAAGGGGGGCAGGAGAAAAAAGCTTTTCCGAAAAAGTATTGGCTGTCTTGAGGAATGCGGTCGCCCCCTTGGGAAAGTACATATCTGGGAGCAGCAGGCGGCTCCGCGCTTGCACTCCGGCTCCTCCGCCCGACCGCGCGCTCGCCAGACCGCTCCTGCCGCAGCCCCAGGGCCCCTCGCCGCCGCCACCATGGACGCCATCAAGAAGAAGATGCAGATGCTGAAGCTCGACAAGGAGAACGCCTTGGATCGAGCTGAGCAGGCGGAAGCCGACAAGAAGGCGGCGGAAGACAGAAGCAAGCAGGTCTGCGCCTCCCCCGCCCTGCGCCCGAGCCCCGAGCGCCAGGACCCCAGCCTGGCACCCCCTCCTGGATCCCCCACCCCGAGGACTCGGAGAGCCACTACCCTACCCCCACCACCACCCAGGGCGGCCAGGGCGCGCGTCTGGAAAGAAGGAAGGGAAACGCAAGAGCCAGGCTTAGATTAACTTTGTAGTCTGGTCTGAGGAGCTTATTTCTCTTCTCTGGTTCCCATGGCCCGCGAAGTCAAGTCCTAGAGGCGCTTTATTCTCAGGACCAGGAATCAGTTTGGGGAAGGGAGGAGGACACCGGGTTCCTGGGGACGTTTGAAGGAAGGGCGAGAGATGGAGAAAGGGACTCAAGTAACTCAAGTGTTAGAAGTTCTTTAACTTTTGACTGGGGAGAAAGGAACAGGGGAGGAGAGGGGGGTCATGGAGTTGTTTCCTAAGAAGTAAGATGGGACGGAATGGGGGCTATAGCCCGAAAGCCAGGCCAGCAGTGGCGTTTTTCTGTATCCCCAAGTAGTGGACTTGAGCCCGCTGAGACCTCGGCAGGAGTCCCGTCCCAGGGCAGGTGGGTGTGCTGGTGAGCCGCGGAGCGGTTCCTGCTAGGGTCAAGAGGAGGTTACCTTGGGTCCCTTGCACTCCAACTCGGCGGCGCCCCGAGCACGAGGGGCCCCAGCCAATCCGACACCCGTGTGTTGTGTGTGTCTAACACCCGGTCCTTGCCGGCCGCCCGCGCCCGCCCGCCGCTGCCCCCAGCTCGAGGAGGACATCGCGGCCAAGGAGAAGCTGCTGCGGGTGTCGGAGGACGAGCGGGACCGGGTGCTGGAGGAGCTGCACAAGGCGGAGGACAGCCTCCTGGCCGCCGAGGAGGCCGCCGCCAAGGTACCCGGGGCGCGCGGCACGGCACGGCGCACTAATGGCTAACTCTTTCTCTTTCTCTCTCTTTCTCTCTCCCTCCCTGTCTTTCCCTCTCTCTCTCCCTCTGTCCCTGTCCTTCTGGTTCTGTGCACCCACACCCCTCCCCTTTGGGATCACGCTGCCTGCTGCACCCCCCCTTCCTCCCCATATCCCCTGGCCAACTCCCAGCTGGAAGATGAGCTGGTGTCGCTGCAAAAGAAACTCAAGGGCACCGAAGATGAACTGGACAAATACTCTGAGGCTCTCAAAGATGCCCAGGAGAAGCTGGAGCTGGCAGAGAAAAAGGCCACTGATGTAAGTGCACGCTCACACTGCTTCCCTCACCTTTTGCCTGCGTGGCCACTCTTGGTCACCACAGGGCTGGAGAGCAATGGAGGAAAGTTACCTCCTCCTGCTGGACACCTGCACACAGCCCCGCCATTGCCCAGAGCATTGGATGCCACCTCTGACTGCTACTGCACACATTCATTTATATTTCATCTACTCCTCTCTTCTTCTTTCCTTTACCTTCCTGGGGGTGGAGGTGGGTGGATGAGATGAGAGGCTGGGAGAATAGAGCAGCTGAAATTGGACTCTGGAGGTGAACGTCGCTTCCCTGGTGGCAGAAAACCCCTCAGGTGTCATCACCAAGGTTTGTGCCGAGAATGCCAGGTTTTCTTCACTTTGTTTCCTTTCACCGTCTCCAGTGGGTGGGAAGTTCTGGGTTTTGGTGATGGGTCTAGTCAGGTACAGAGAACCTGGCCTCTAAATGAAAGAAATGACACAGTGATACTTTTACTTAGAAGGCTGCACTTCATGGTGGGGCACAGAGACACTTTGAGGCTTCCTTTCTCACTAGCGAAGCCTTAATCGACCCCTTAAGGTCTGCCTGGGAAGGTGATACTTGCTTGGGTCTGCAGTCTGAAGGCACTAGATTCAGAAAGGAAGCCTTGAGTTATATATAGCTCAGTGCTTTATATGGTATAGTGAGCTAGCTGCCCCCTGCCCCTCCTGCTCGCCCCGCCCCCACCTGTCAGCCTTCTGACAACCACCACATAGTTGCAGGGGTGATGCACACAGCTAAGGCTCTACTAGCTCTTTGTCCACCGCCCTTTGGAAGCTTTTTAATTGAGAACTTGCCTCTTCTGCCTCTGAAAGTCAAGCCAAAGGACCAACTTCTTTTCACACCGTTGGATTCCATTCCAAAAGCTAATTAAGCCTAGAGGCCCAATTAGAAAAGAATTCCTTGGGAAGTTGGTAACAATTCCAAGAATGCGTGAGCACCAGGGAAAGCTATGCCAGAAGTTGAAACACCAAGGGCAACAGCAGAATTTTTTTGTATGAAAGTAACATGCAAATTACTGAAGGGTCTCAGGTCTTGAAATTAGTAAAGGCTCTTTGTAGCATGAAAGGCTGGAGACGTATGTGCAGGTGTGCTTTGTAAATGAGAAATCCAGACAGGACATTTGGAATCTGCCAAAAAGAAATTTTCAGTGAAAATCAAGGTTCCTGGAAAGGGGGTTTGGGGGAAGCACTGATTTCGTAAAAACATTTAAATTATAAACTTACCTGGCTTTGGAAAAAGAGCCAAAAACCATATATAACTCTGAGCCTGCTTTGTTTAATGCAGATCAGATGCCTGCTCTACATATGGCTAAATGGAAGATGCCTGTCTCCCGCAAATTCTCCAGCAGGACGTTTATTTAGCTTTTTCAAAAGAGCTACTGATAGATCAAGGAAAGATATTCCTTATAAGGAAAAGAATGCAGAGAATTTGAAAATAGCCCAGTAAGACTGAAGGCAAAAGAGGGAGAAAAAGGTTACTACAATACTTAAGGAAAAGGAGGATAATAATTATTGTAACTATGTAGTGCTAACATGTCTTTATTGAAAAGTCTTGTTGAAGGGAGTACTGGAATGGGGTGGGGCAGAAATGGAAAAAAAGTTATTTGAAGTCAGCTGGTGTGGGGAGCAGCAGGGGAGGGGGTTCTTGAATCTTGTTTTGGTTCTTTTTCCCCCTGGGAAACTGCCCCTAAATCTGGCATATATGGGTTTTTTTGGTAGTGTATTGATCATATTCCCTTTTAGGACACTTTAGGTTGTTTGGAGTTTGGAACCCATAGGGATATTGAAGAAGTTTGTGAAGAAATGCCATACAGTCATTTGTTGATGAACAAAAGGGGATAAGGTCTGAGAAATGGGTCATTAGGTGATTTCTTCATTGTGCAAACACCACAGAGTGTATAGTACTCACACAAACATAGAAGGGTATAGCCTACTACATACCGAGGCTACAAACCTGTCCAGCACGTTACTGTACTGAATACAGTCAACGATGGTAACACAAATCACCAGGCGATAGGAATTTTTCAGCTCTATTATAATCTTATGAGGCTACTGTCATATATGCGGCCCCTCATTGACCATATGCGGTGCATGACCATATTCAGAGTGGTAGTTTTTTATTTACTAAAAAATAGTCAAAACTTGAGGAGGAAGAGACAGCTGTCACCAGAAAAAGGGAGAAGTTGGGTGAGGAAGAAGTCAGCTTCCTGATTTGGAATCATATTACCTTTAGGATTAGGACATTTCACGGTCATTACTTGCCACTGTAAAATACTTCTCTATTTTTCTACTATTATTACTAAAAACATTTTTCTTGTTCTTTTTTTTTTTGGAGACAGAGTCTCGCTGTCTCTCAGGCTGGAGTGCCGTGGTGCAATCTCAGCTCACTGCAACCTCCACCTCCTGGGTTCACGGGATTCTCCTGCCTCAGCCTCCCAGGTAGCTGAGACTACAGGTGTGCGCCACCACACCCAGCTAATTTTTGTATTTTTAGTAGAGACAGGAGTTTCACTGTTAGCCAAGATGGTCTCCATCTTCTGACCTTGTGATCTGCCCACCTCGGCCTCCCAAAGTGCTGGGATTACAGGCATGAGCCACTGCACCCAGCCACTAAAAACATTTTTCTACTATTTTACTGGTGTATTTTACAAATCCTATTCTGGAAGTGGGCTCTTTCTAGCTTAGAAGATTGTCATTCAGGAGTAGTAGTATCCCTGATGGTCTTGTTTTGAATTTTGTGTTGTCTTTCCGCCCAAGCCAAAAGTGAGGCTGAAGGGGATCCAAGACTACATTTTTTTCTGGCCCCCAGTCTCTTCCCCAGTAACTGTGATATATCTGACATTATTAACATGTGAGTCTTTATCCCCTTGTAGGTCTTTAGTTCCTAAATTAGGGATTCTCAACCTTCTCTAAACATAATCACTTAGGGAGTTTTTAAAGCCCAAAGTTGGGATGCACCCAAGACCAATTAAATCAGAATCCCTAGGGGTGGAACCCAGGCAGCAGCATTTAGAAAATACCAGGTGATTCCAATCTGCAGCCAAGAATGAGAAAACTCTCCCAAACTCTTGTATAATGACATCAGCATGAAAATGAACTCACCTGAAACTGACTTTCCCAGGACATTAAGTCACTAGTTGGCCGCTTAGAGCACTTGCCAGTATCCAGCAGTTTTCTGGCTGCTCCTGGAGGTTCCCAGACGCCCCATTCCCCCATTCTCAATGTTGGAGGCCCACAGTCTCTGCACTTAGGCGACCAGCTGTAACCTCCCCACCTGACCTGTTGAACTGTATGGAAACAAAGCGGGAAACTCCCACCTACAGGATGCAAGGACCCAAGCAGGGATTTGTGAGAGTCTCAGCAGAGGCTGTGAAAAACCACAGAAAATGAGTCAGGAAAGCCAAAGGTCCTTGTTAGGGCTTGGAGGATGAGACGGTTGTCAAGCATGTTTTCTTTATTATTCCCACACTTAGGGAGCTGGCTTTAAGAGCTTTCTGTGACAAAGCTGAGGAGAAAAAGCCCCGAGACTTAGAAGGCATTTAAGAAGGGGAAAATCGGCAGAGACTGTGTCCGCAGTGGTTTTCTCCACCTGTAGCCAGAGGCTCTCTCGTAGCGTTCTGTGGCTTTCCCTGGGGTGCCTTTTAAAGGCGTCCCAGTCCATCCCAGAATTGACCGGATTCCAGGAGATCTCAGAGCCCGGTCTGACGATAAGAAGCTTGTAAAAAGCAGAGACCCTTAGGATGACTGTTTTTTTTCCATGGAAAGGGAGCCCCAGCGAGGCTGGCCTGAGATCACACAGCTGATTATGGGCCGCAGCCTGACTCTTAAAACAGTGCTTGTATATTTCTTAATCGTAGCTATAATTTGAATTTTTAACTATGTATAAGGTATGGTGCTAAGCGCTTTGTAGTTCTTCATAATTCTCACAGCAGCCCCATGGGGAAAGTGCCATTATTATTTCCACTTTTACAGATGACGCCCAGAGAAGACAAGTTATTTGTCCGAAGCCACGCAGCAGGAGAGTAGGGGCCAGAGTCAACGTAGGGAAACTGCATTTAGAACAGGAAGGCTAACCATTATGCTCTACACGTTGGTGGTTTTCACTTCGTAAAATTTTTAGGGATGGGGGTAGTGCGGTGGTTATAATATTGCGGTTAGGATCAGTCCCGTTAGGGTATATTCCGGCAGCAGACCCGCCGCTCCGCTTCTCGCTCCTGGGCATGGGAATCTGGCCTCCGGAGCGGAGCGCTCGCGCGGCCAGCAGGAGACGCTCTTGCCCTTAGCAGCCAGCTCCGTTACCCCGGGTCATCACGGCGCCGGGGAGGGGCCCTAGGAGTGGAAGCCAAAGCCCTGGCGCTGAGGCCTCCCGGAGCGCCCAGTCCACCTGGTACCCCCGCAGCGCGCCTCCGGCGACTTTCTCGCCGCCGCCGCGAGCATGCGCAGTGCCTCCAGCTGGGCCCGGAATCCGCGGCGCGCACCGCGCCCCGCCCCGCCCGGCCGTGCGCGCCCGCATGCGGTTCGCCTGCGCCGCCCGGGAGGCCTTGACTTCCGGACTGCTCCTGGCCGCAGGGGGCGCCGTAGTTGCAAGGAGCGGCCTGGGCGGGGCGGACCGGCGCTGGGCAACCGGGGCAGCTGCGGCACCCGGGTCCGCAGCGCGGCAGCCGGCCTCTCCCACTGCAGCCCTCCCGCCCACCTACCCGTCCGGCGCGATGGCGGGGAGCAGCTCGCTGGAGGCGGTGCGGAGGAAGATCCGGAGCCTGCAAGAGCAGGCGGACGCCGCGGAGGAGCGCGCGGGCAGCTTGCAGCGCGAGCTGGACCACGAGAGGAAGCTGAGGGAGACCGTAAGGGACCCACCCATCACCTTGCCGCCCCCAGAGGCGCGCGCATCCTCCCCGGGCGGCCCCTCAAGGCCCTCCTGGAGGCCGCAGTCCCCTGTGCCCCGACCCCACGCGTCCAGGGCGCACCTGGCG